CAGGGCAGGGGGAGGAGCTGCCGTGGGGGGGGCGCCAGGGGGTGGGGAGCTGCTGCGGGGGGGGAGTGCCTCAGGGCAGGGGGGGAGCTGCCGCAGGGCTCCCCACCCCAGCTCACCTCTGCTACGCCCCCTCCCCAAGCACGCCGCCCCCACCGGCAATGACAATAATTGCATGGAGCGGACGCTGCGCTGGGAGAGGGAGTCTGAGACGCACGTGTCAGCGCATCACCGGCAGCCCAGCCCAGCCCAGGAATGCTGTAAAAAAAAATTGGGGGCACCGCTTTTTGGTGCCCCCAAATCTTGGCGCCCTAGACAACCGTCTAATTTGCCTTAATGGTAGCACTGGCCCTGCCTATACTGCCTTCCTTCATTTTGTGAGCCGAGCTTGGTCAGCACCAGAGCATTGCTGTGGCCCCATTTCTGAAGGACACTCTGTTACCAGGAGCTGGGTGAAGGTACCCAGCGAATGCATTAGAGCCACGTAGGCAGATGAACACATTAATGTTTATTAGATAAGAGGTATAAGGGCGTTGAAGAGTTTGGTAAAGTGAAGAGCAAAGTGAAGAACATTTTTTTAAAGGAAATCAGGAAGTAAAGAAATATAACTCCAAAGATAAGAGTGAGAGGGGATGGCTGAGTACAAACAGTCAATAATGTGTCATGATAAGATAACTGCTACTTCTATGAAAACATGTTCAGCAATCAGGAAAGGCAGTATCAAGTGGATCAGATCTAGGCAAATTAATGCCTTCCAAAGATACTAACCTTCACAGATCCCATGGGAGTTCAGGTAACTTCTAATAAGGAGTACGTGACCTCACCATTTGCTTTGACTTTTGACATTAGCACACCAGCACCCACTGTGTGTGTGTGGGTGGGGGGGGGGGACGACAGGTATGTGTCAAATTTAAAGAAGTAAACAGCTAGCAGGATATGCTGATTTCTTCAGGTGTGATGCATGTCAGACCCAGCTGTGCCAGCTCAGGCTAGGATCTTGTCATATTTCACATGGAGAGCAAAATTGCCCCAGGCTAGTAATTATATGGAGACACCTAAGGACACTGCAGATTACTACAAGAGGTAGATTCAGGAGGTGGCATTGATTTCTCTGAAATAGTATTGCACCAATCATGTCTACACTTGCCATTTAAAGTGGAAAAAGTCCCTTTTTTGCACAAAAACCATGGGACCGTCTACACTTGGCCATGACTTTTTGCAGTAAAACTCAGAAGTTTCACCACAAAGAGAAAACCACCTCCACGAGAGGCGTCCAGCTCTTACCGGGGATGCTTTTGCGGTGATGTGCAACTGAAGGCAAGTTCTTCCTGTTTACACAGCTTTTCATCTCCACAGGATATCCCACAGTGCCTAGGTGACCACTCTGGCAGCAGCTCTGCCGCTGTGATGCCAGGTAAACAGACATCCACCCCTCCCCCTGTAAAGCCCCGGGAACTTTGAAACTCCCCTTCCTGTTTTCTTGCAAGTGCTCTCTTATCATCTGGCCAGGCGACAATGCCTGCTCCATGGAGCAAACAATCCCCTGCTTGAAGCAATGCTGCGCTACTGGAGCTGATCAGTGTTTGGGCAGAGGAGGCTGTGCAGGGACCCAGGATGCCCCACGATCACAACCCCACCTTCGCACAAGACCCATCGTCAAAATGGAGAGAGCTGCACTGTGGAATAGCTGCTCTCATCGTTGATGGAAGTGCTGCAAATATAAACACTCTCTGATGCCTGTGGAAGTAAGTGAGTACACAAACCAGCGCTTTTCTTTCACCGGTTCACTGTCACCATTGAAACTGACAGTGCAAAAACTCTGCATGTGTAGACATAGCCAATGCTACCAACATTCTATCAGTAGACAGGAGGGAGCTCTATACACTCCCCTGATTTCAGAGGTGCCAAGCATGCACAGCCCTCATTAACTTCAAAGAGAATTGTGGGTGTAGTTCAATGAATCCTTTTCAACCAGCTCTAAAACTTGAACCAGTCAGTTTCACCTTCTGGTTCTCATGTACAGTGACTCCTCACTTAATGTTGTAGATATGTTGCTGAAAAATGTGACTTTGAGCGAAACGATGTTAAGCGAATCCAATTTCCCCATAAGAATTAATGTAAATGAGGGGGTTAGGTTCCAGGGAAATTTTTTTCACCAGACAAAAGACTATATTATATATAATATATATACACACACACACACACACAGACACACACACAGACACACACAGTATAAGTTTTAAACAAACAATTTAATACTGGTACACAGTGATGATGATTGTGAAGCTTGGTTGAGGTGGAGGAGTCAGAGCGTGGGATATTTCCCTTACTGCTAAATGATGAACTAGCAATTGGCTGAGCCCTCAAGGCTTAACTCTCTCTCTACACAAGGCAGCAGGAATGGAGGGAGATATGAGCATTTCCCTTAAGCACACTGCCTTGTTAATTAGATCAGCTTGCTGAGATGCGGCTGCAAGCTCCCTCTGAGTCCTGGTCTGTCCCCCCTGCTCTATGGAAGATTGGATAAGCGGGGTGCAGGAGCAGGTGGAGGGGGACACCCTGACATTAACCCCCCTCTTCGTTCCCTCCCCCACACACAGCAAGCAGGAGTCTCGGGGAGCAGCTCCAAGGCAGAGGGCACATGGCAGTGGGGGAAGGGACACAGCTGAACTGCAGGCAGCTGCTGCACAGGGAACTTAGGGGAGCGGGGAGCTGATAGGGGGAGCTGATGGGGGGGCTTCCAGTCCACCCTGGTTCCAAGCCCCCACCAGCTAGCTGCAATGGGCTGCTCTTCCTGCAAGCAGTAGACAAAGCAGGCAACATTAGAAGGGAGCATTACACAACTTTAAACGAGCATGTTCCCTAATTGATTAGCAACTTAATGACGAAAACAACGTTGACCGGGACGACTTTAAGTGAGGAGTTACTGTATTAGCAATACAATTACATTTGTGTTCACAACACCATGTTTATTTTTTCAAAGCTGTTTTTATTGATTCTTTTGATTAAAACCTCAATTTGGGATCTAAACTATTTTCAAGTGTTCTTTCAAACAAATGTTTCATTTATCCACAAGTTTCTTTATGAATGGAACCCATATTCTGGACTATCCAGAGATAGCAAGTAGTAGCAACAATTAAAGAGTCAATGTACGTCCTCAGATACACTTGCATGGCTTCCATTGAAGTTAATGGTAGCTGTACATGCTCATGATTAAACAGAATTTGGCCTTCAATAACATATGTATTAAAGTAACTATTAGACAACAAATACATTTTGATTCTTACCAGTATAAACAGATTCAGTCCATTCACTCCAAATTCCTTCACTACACCATGATTGATGATTAGCTCTTATCTTTATGGAATATCTGCAGGTGTCATCAATCCTTAAACTGAAACTATTTAACTTAGTTTCCCATGTCTGTTAAAAACAACACAACTCTGTCATAGATTTCTTAAGACTAATAAGGTCAAGACAACAACACTTAAATTGCTACAGTTACTAAACTTCAGAAGTAAATTTACAATATTTGCTTTAGGCATAAATATAAGCATTGTTACAAATTGATTATTGTGTTTGTTCTCCTTTTAAATTAGTTTTAATAGCCTACAGGTGGATGCCAAAGACTTGATTTTCACACAAAACCTCCATATTTGTGGGCACAGTTTTGCACCCACAATTAATTACATCCACCATTTTTCACCTGCAATTCATTCAGGCCAAAATTTTCTAAAGTATTCACTGGTTTTGGGAGCACCTGTACCTTTGACGGAATGGACCTGGATGCATCAAGATGAGCATCCAAAACTGATGAACATTTTAAATTGTTCCATTAGTGTTTTCCAAGTATAATGTGGGTATAATTCATTGTAGGCACACACACAAAAAAATGCTCCGTAAAAGAAAGCTGATTTAAAAATTAGGGGTGAAATCCTAGCCCCATTAAAGTCAGTGGGAGTTTTGCCATTGATTTCAGTGGGACTAAGATTTGACACTAGATCTGTAGATTTTAGAGGATGGTAGATGGAGTTCTGGTTACACGCATAATTTGAAACTCAAAAGATGTCCATGAACCAGAAGACTTGTTCGCTAGATTACATATGAGACTTATTCTAGACATATAAGAAAGACAATTCATAGGCAAGTTCTATATAGAATACCTCAACTTTTAACAAGCAGTTACCTTTTTGTAACCCGTCTTCCAGTTGTAGATGTTAAATTCATATTCAAAACATTCCTTTATGAAAAAAGAATCTGGCATTTCCCACATGACCAGAAGGTTGTTTTGTTTTAAAGACACGGTGACATTTCTGGGAGGATTCACTTTCTCTAGAAAATAAATAAAATACCAGTGTGTTACCAATAAAGCAAGTCTCTTGGCAGGAGGTTGTTCAAAGTTTGGCTATGGTTTGGATCTGGTTGAATTTACAGCCCATGAGTTTCACTTTGAGTTTGTTGTATGATAGGAAGGGGTTTAAAAGAACTGAATATATCAGTGGAAAAACAAATACTGAAAAGTAGCTAAAGCCACTGATATATCAACAATTACGGAGTAACTCTCCTCCTTTATTAAAACCCTTTACAAGATTTAAAAAGAAAAAAAACCTTTCAATTATTTCATCCCTTGTAAAATTCATTATTCTCAAAGAGAAGTAAGGAGATTTTTTTCATGCAAAATAGGTCTTGTTGCTATAACCTTTCCCCCCTTTTCTCCTTAGCCTCCATCAGCTTTTGTAGGGTGACCAGACAGCAAATATGAAAAATCAGGACAGTGTGTGTGGTGGGGGGGGGGTAATAGGTGACCATATAAGAAAAAGCCCCGAATATTAGGACTGTCCCTATAAAATTGGGACATCTGGTCACCCTAAGCTTTTGCCACTATACATCATTTCATGTTGCCTTATTTTAGGGGTTGGATCATGCCCCCTAGAATTGTGTATATGGAGGCTGCCCTCCACACACAAATCTTGCCTCTCCTGTGCCAAAGGTGCTTCTATATGTCCTCCTGAGTCCATCTGTGTTGTAAAACCTTCCAGTTTTTCAACATCCCTTTGGTAATATGGTGACTGGAATACAATACTTCAGTGTATTCCAGGCACCATGCTGCCATAAAGTTTCTGAAAAATTGCAAGAAGTTCAGAGAAGAGCATTGAAACTGAATATGTACATTAAAAAAGTTAAATATGTCTCTCTTAGTTAAGCAACATATGAAAGGAGATGTCATAAGTCTATAAATAAGTGAAGGTTGTAAAAATTAAGATGGGAGAGGAATTATATAAGAGGATCAAGGGGGTATAAACTGGAGTAAAGGGATGACATTAAGAAAAGGAAAATTAACCTATCAGGAAAAGCTTCCTTCCAATGAAATGTGTTAAACTGTATAATAAAAACTGGTAAAAGCTGCATTGCTTGGGACATTTAAGACTAGACTGGATAAAGCAGTAAAAAAATACTGAAACCATACTTTGGCAGACAGATACATTAGATGAACTAATAGGTTATTTCTATCTCTTATTTTTTATTGTCCTAGAATTTAAACCTAACTGTTAAAACCACACAGTTAAAATCATATTTGCCCTAGTTCCACACTAACACCTCCAATTTCAGAAAATATCCATGCAAAACCTTAAACTAGCCCATATCTTAAACTGGAGCATGGATCATTCAAACCACCAAGGAATTTCAGCAAACCTTTAAACCAAAATGCAGAGCAGGTTTGAGTTTTATACCAGATTTTTTAAAGATTTCACTGCAAACATTTCACCAAGATCTAAGAAGTTATACTGATATTTTAATGTGTAAAAACTAAAAATATTTACTCACCAATGGCATTTGGATTAAATAACTGTTCAAAAGGTTTGATTGCAGTGTACTTGCTTGACCCATTAATGTGTACGACGACGACTTCGTCAATTTCACTTGTCTTTATGTAAGTGTTTGAAAATCGGCAACCAATATTTCTCTTCCAGTTGTCTTTACTATATTCTTGGCATTCTTCAGTGTAGCTATTATACCTAAATAAGATGAGTTTGTAAGACACTATTATCTTAAGGAAACTAACAAGGGGCAAAAATAGAATCAGACCCTTACCTGTAAAATAGAAAGTATTTTGTATCTTCTGGTGCCTCTTTGCCAGCAAGCCAGTTGCAATGAAGAGATGCAGTATTATTAATGGCCATGTAAATCACACAGGACAAGTTAGTGACTGATGTCTCAACAGCACCTTTAGCACCAACAATACATAAAAGGTTGCATTTGTAAGGTAATAAGTGCTAAATATTTACTAGCATGTTCTTATTACTCATGAATATAAAATAACATAAAATACAATTGATTACAATCTTTGGTTCCTTGTATATGTATATATTCTATATATCAAATATTTATACAAGATTGGGATGTCTCTCTCATGAGTAGTGAAGTAGTTCATCCCAAACACTACAAATGTTATTTTTATACCACCGGACACCACCACGTATTCTGTATATGCCCCTCAGTTATGGAAAACAATGTTTAGAAATGTTTTAGAAAGTTATAAAATATTTTCTCTTAGCCCCATTCACTTGAAGCAATTTCTTTAAATCGCATTCCACCAAAACTCTTAAGCACATGTTAGACTACATTTGATGGTCTATACGAGTACAGCCCTACTTCATCCACGATAGTACGGAAATTGCAGATCTTGCGGCTTCCACTGCAATTTTTATTTTAATTGGCTTACTTTGCACAGTCCACAATTTTGCAGACATTTTGATTATGCAATTAATACTGCACTACCATTCAATGCCTGTAAAAGGCTAACGTGACTGGACTTGACTTCTACAGCAGTTGTGTTGAGACTTTTAGTCTTCTGAATTTTATATTGTACGATCACTGTTTTAAAATGCATGTAATATAGTTGCAGCAAAATGGTTGGTTATCAAAAATATTAGCAGGCATAACATAATCATAGACTATCAGGGTTGGAAGGGACCTCAGGAGGTCATCTAGTCCAACCCCCTACTCAAAGCAGGACCAATCCCCAGACAGATTTTTGCCCCAAATTGCCCCCCCAAAGATTGAACTCACAACCCTCGGTTTAGTAGGCCAATGCTCAAACCACTGAGCTATCCCTCCCCCTTCTTCAGTGTCCTATCGTTCCAGTAAATTTTTCTTAAACATATAGGTCTACTTTGGCTTTTCCAAATTACTGCTATTAATAAAGGTCCATTATTACTTTTCCACGATTCTCCATGTCTTGTTCGCAACTCAGCCGCAATTATTTAAAGTTCGTCCCACAATTCAAGTCGGGCCTTATATATCAGCCCAAAGAGTTAAAGGTGTTAACATGACCCTGCAAATTTCCAACAATAAACAGTTTTAAACGATCTTTAACATTTGGTAAACAAAGACCTCAGCCTGCTTAGTACCATGGCAAACACATCATTAAAAACCCCTTTAACCTATTATTAAAGATAGAGAAAAGAAGGGAAAACAGTTAAAGCATTTAAAATGTAAAGTATTAAGCAAGACTTTCATTTTAACAGCATCCCTTGTTCCCTTTTCCTTTACCTATAGAGAGTCTTTAGAAGGAAAAAAATCTTTGATAGTCTCTTAAATGGTCATTTTTGGGGAAAAGAGAAAAAGTTAGTTGAGATGGGCTGGAGCTGCTGTTGCTGTCGTTTTTAAAGTCTGAACCCATTTTCTAGAAGGCAAAACAAGACAAATACACACAAGTGGAGAGAAAAGAACAGGAAAGATAGAAAATGCAACTTTTGTCTCTGGTGTTAACTCTCATTTGCAACCTGACTGCTGGAGAAACACAGGCATGGCACAGTCTTATCAGCCACTCCAAGACTTGGCAAACTTGTACCAGTGTTGGAGTATTTAGGCATTGCTTTTATCTGCCTCTCTAGGCACAGGCTCACAGACATACTGGAAAAATATGCAGTCTTGGCTGGCTAAGCCAGACTTCTATTAAATAGAAGGCAAATGAGGAGGGATAGGAAAGAAAAGAAATAAGGTGGGGCGGGCAAAAGATACACAGGCAGGGAAGAAAACAACACAGTCTCAGACCCCAGACGGTGTCCAGGATTTAGCCAGAGCCAGTGGGGGTAGTGATATCATCTGGGCAGGGCCGACTCCAGGCACCAGCTTGGCAAGCAGGTGCTTGGGGCAGCCGCTTGGGAGAAGGGCGGCTTGTCCAGCTATTCGGCGGCAATTTGGCAGATGGTCCCTCACTCCCACTGGGAGCGAAGGACTTTCCGCCGAATTGCCGCCACAGATCGCGATCGCGGCTTTTTTTGTTTTTTTTTTGGCTGCTTGGGGTGGCCAAAACCTCGGAGCCGGCCCTGCATCTGGGTCCCTCCCTTTGGCTGAGTCTGTTCAAAATATCTCTTGGTAGTAGGATAACGAAGACCCACTGGTGTCACAGTGGATCCCAGGGTTCCAGTGGGCGAGGGAGGGAGGAAAGCCATGGTGGTGAAGCTTGCTTCTTCCTGTTCTCCCATCTTTCAGTCACTGGTTGTTGGCAGACAGCTGCTGCTTGATTTCCCCCCCACCACACACACACACACTAAAGTCTTTTCTTTTAAGGCACCCAAAAGGGAATGATGGGCAGAATAGCCCATTGCCTCATTATTTTGTTTGCCAATTAGGTCTAATTTCCAAAACACCATTTTTGGTTCACTGAGTTCCAGTCCCAAACTTTTTTTGTTTACCAGGCATGATCTTAACACAGTGCTTGAGTTATAACAGTAGGCTTTTTAACTAATTCTGTCTCCCTTTTGTATCTTTCCCCATCAACATTTATTGTAGGCTATTGTGACATTTTCTGAACTTTCACTCACTTCTTACAATAGAGCTCACAATTAGGGTAAATTTGTAGGCCCAATTAATACTACACACAGGCATAATTTTAAGCCTCTCCGTAGTCCCATTGACTAGTAAGGGCTTTGAATCAGGCTCAATAGTATATGGCTTTCTCAAGCAGTTTGCATGATGTCTCATAAGTACACATACATACATATATGTGTAAACAGACCTATCTCTATCTAAATAAACATTTCAAACATCAAAAGCTTCTTAAAATCACTTCCATTTCATTCTTCCGCAGAATTGGTTGAATCTGTTTGCATAAAGAAAGTCAGGCTAGAACAGATACAACACGGCCCTTCAGGCTTTATGATGTAATTGGCGTATTTAGACTTGAGCTGGTCTAAATTGTCTCTAGAGCAGAAGTGAACTGAATTATTAAATAAGAGGGGATTAGATGATGTCAGCTACTGTCTTTCAAGAACTCTGTTGTAAGGATTATCAAAGTTGTGCAGCTGCAGAACGTATTCCAGGCTTGGGGGCTTCCAAGAGTGAGTCTGGCTAGCATGGAGATGACAAGAGCTGCAGAGAGATTGAAATCAGATACAGATTGGAAAGGAGATAGAAGAAGCAATAGAGATAACTATGATTCTCTGGGGCCTGTTTGCTTAGCTTTTTTGTAACACAAGGCTCTGATTGCTGATATTGCTGGATACCAGGCCAACAATGAAAACAATGCAGGACAATTGGGAAAATGAAAATTCTGTAGGAGACGAGTGCTACAGACTTGTCTCATGGAGAATTCAAAATCCTAAAACAGGAGTATGTTTTTTAAAACAAAGGAAGGATGGTTAGATTTGATTTAGAAGAATGCAAGTCCATTTACAGGATCAAATCTTACAACAGCAGTGCGACCTTCTACATGCATCCCTACCATCTAAATTGCCGCTACCTGTAGGAGTCATTTCTAAGGTTGAGAAATAGTGCCCATCTCCATTCAGTCCTTTCAGCATAGATAGACAATTAGTTAAAACTGTGATGATGAATCAGCTCCACCAGAAACCAAACAGGATTCCCCAGCTTATTTCACAGACTTCTCAACAGTTTTTAAGTGGTAGTAATTTAAAGTCAACCAGTAACTACAGGTGAAAAAGGTCGTTATTCTGTTACCAGTCCCCTGAGCCAATGAGTCTTCCAGGATATGCATCTTTCTGTTCTTTTCATTTCAGGATCTTACACATCCTCATGATATTTCTGCCCACTCCCTGCTCTAACAAAACCACTACTCCACCTCCTTTTATCAGTTATATTGGCCAAACCAGGCTAATCTTAACTGATACCCTAAATCTCAACCAACTCCTGCTCCTTGGGAATTTATGTCCCTCCTGAGGGCCGAATTCTGATACCCATACTCAGATTGAATAGCATCTTGCTCCACAAGTAGTGCCATTGACAAAATGAAGTCATGAAGTTATAATCAGGAGTAAGATGCTATTCAGTGTGAATAAAGATATTGGAATCTGGACCAAAACTATTGTGTAAGAACAATGCCATGTAGAGCAGGAGATGTGTCTCCTTTTGAAGTTTTTAACCTGTCATCCTTTTCATGCTTTCTTGTCTACAGACTAGAACATAACATAAAATTAAATCCTTGTTCCTAACACATCTTACCTGGTGGGGCTTGAAGTTTAGCTGTAACCCAGTTACTTTCCATTTGTGAGTTGTTATAGGGAAGCAATGTCCGAATACGTGCAGAAAAACCATTATGAAGCACAACCGTACGGGTACTGCAAGTTTTCTTTGTATTAAACTTGAAAAATAAACAATTTATTAGTCTCAAATGCAATGAAACCTGACCTAGGTTCTCACTCAGGGAACGAGCAAAGGTAGATCTCCTAACAAAGGTGGTCTTTAACTAAAGTTCAAATCATATGGTATTTGAAACCATATGAAGGTACTTCAAATGTGTTGCTTAAGATGAGGGATTGCCTACTGGAAATGGGTAAATGAAGGCTTCCATGTACAGAATTTTGGTGAAGCATGGTCCCAAATACTATCTATATACTGGCGTCAATCTGCAATAAATGCAGTAACATCAGTGGTGGACTATACCATCCAGAAGCAGTGCTGATTCAACACCTCTCCCGGACAGCCTCCAACGGGCCAAAAAGCAAAACTGCCCTCACTTAGTAGAATTCCTTGGGAAGCGTGACAGCAGTACTAACACCTGCTATCTCCTGGGGTTAATCTCCCTTGGAACAGAGTTGTTCCCATAGGCAGAGAGAGAGATGGATGTGGCGAACAGTTAATATATTTGTTTATGACACAGCGCCAAAAGTAAATCTGATGAGCCAATGTATCTGAAAGTCATATCTTAATCAGTAAATCTTGGGTTTGAATTTGATATAGCATATTTAAGCCAACATGTGTTAGCCATACTTTACACTTACTGGGTCCAACGTAGGAGTCATAATATCCACCTCATATTTAACAGTGTCATTCTTTTCCTGATCAGGGTTTGGTTTCCATTGCAAAAGTACTTCTGCTAGTGCAGAGACTGTGACGGTGAAATTAACAGGTGGGAGAACCTGAACTGTTGATTAAGGGACAAAACAAAAGAATTAATGATATACTAAGGAATAAACTAATAATAGTGAGTAGTTCAGAGCAATAACTACTTACAAGTAACTATCAATACAGGGAAATGGTTACAGACTTCATTTAAATGTTAGACTGCATTCATTCAATAGCTTCTTATAAAACATGTTTCTTATACTTGGTCAAAAGGCTGAGAGTTAGGAGCAAATAGATTATTGAATAGGAATTTAATTAAAACCTAACCAAGCTAAAATTATTATGAAAACCAGATTTCTTTAAGTTCGCGAAGTTGAGTAACCTACTATCACATCTAGTTTGTTTATAAAACATAGTTTTGAATCCTTCAAGTTGATTTACATGGATGGATCCCTGAGGTCCATGGGCATTTGTATTGGCCCAGGGCTGTCACCCACAGATCAGTTTGCACAATCAGGGCCTTACAAACAAGATGGAATTGAGTTTTGTCCCTGGAAGAAATGTATATTAAACCATACAGAGAGATTTAATTGAAAACACAAGAATTTATATGTGTAGGCTTCCCAGGATTAGATTTTTATTGGCAAATGTCCGTGTACATCGCTTTTACCGTACGCACACACACAAACCGACGAAAAATATTTCCATTGATAATCAAAATTTATAAATAGGTAAAGTAAGAGAAATGCTGCTTGAGACCTTATTCTTGTTTGGTTTAAGGATATTTACTTTGTATATTCTGACGTGATGTTGACAGTTAGTGTTTTAATGGTATAATAAAGCTTTAACTTTTTTAATAACAACACCTGCTGTCATTAAATAATTGTCTGATACACACACCCATAATTTTGCCCAACTGTGAAAATTAGAATCAATAAAAATTGGAAAAAAGGCTTAAAATAAACATTGGTATTATCCATTGAAATAATAAAAAAAAATGAATTCTGCCAAGCCTATATATATGTGTGGAACATATGTATGCTGAACAAGGAAACAAGGCATAAATATTTGCAGAGATAGAAGAAGGATGGGACTGACAATTTAGAAGGACAAGGTGACAGAGACCCCGGGAAAACAAATCATGATGGGTGAAAAATGTAAGCATATAAATGGCAAAAGAACAAAAGCTTCAGGTATCACTAGAAGAAAATTACTTACTTCCTTTAGCTTGCAATAAGTTTGTCTGAAATGCCATCATTCTCCAAAGGAGAACTGGAAAAATGCTCACCACGATGGCCATAGCCTTTTGGTAATAAACGATAACAGTTAGTTATCAGCACATGCCTCAGCCCCATTTCAACTAGCAAATACAAGACACAACCCCTTAGCTATGAATTAGCACACAAAGTTTGTAGTGTAACATCTGAGGTTGCTACATGCAAATAAACAAAATTAAGGAAATTAAGATGTCACCTTACAGTGTCTACCCTCCACTCCTTCCCCTGCAGGTACACATCTTGCCATTACCAAATTTCTGTGGACCACCCACCTAAGGATGACATGTGGGGGGGGGGGGCATGTGGGTCACATGGTATGGCAGGTCCCCCTTCCCTGTGCAGCAGCTGTCGTCACCGGTGAGCTGCACCCCGCAAGGAGAGGCAGGAGCAAAATCTGGGAGCTTAGGGAGGGGCCACTGCTTTCTGGAATGGGAGACTGAGAGTAAAGGAGGGTGGTCAGCCTTGTGGGGGGGTATGACTCGAGGCTGAACCTTTAAATTGTGTCCTCCCCCCACTATCAGCAGGTACAGGTTGTCTCTGCACACACTACAACCTTCATTCTACCCTCCTTCCTTTCCACGTACACTATTTTACTAACTTACCTCTTGTCAACATCCTATTGCCTGAACCGTTACTTCCATGTTCTTGCAGTATATAATAAAACAAGCTAGCAGGCTAGCCCTATGGGCTACATTCTCCAGGGACTTACATGACTGTGTTTATTACTGGATGTAAGAGAACCCATTTTTGTTTGTATTAGACTGACAAGAGTGATTACTTGTAATGTTTAGTAAACAGCATAGTGTGCTGAGATTAAACTAGGTTTTTTGGTGTGAAGTACAGAAAATCTGTTCTACTGATCATTCACATATAAACAACAAGGCAGTACTGACCAGTATGTTCCCAAACTTTCATATGATGGACCACATCTTAAGAGAGAGACTGTCTCACTAAGAACGTCCTCAGGCATGAGTGCATTCCCTCCCATTCTGACTCACATAATTTGTCTGTGACAACTACAGCAATTCCTTACATGGAAAAATAACACTGTGAAAGTATTTAGTGTATTTTAGCTTCTGTGAAGTGAGTTAGCAGCTGGAAAGGAAAAGAGCTAGCATCCCGTGACTTATCAGTTTTCCATGACCCATCAGCAAGTACTCTGCAGATCCCCAGTGATCCAGCAAGCGCAGGTTTGGAAACTTCTGCTGCAGAGGAACTAGTTTTAATTTTGAGTTCATGAAAACAAGGTGTTGTGTAACAGCCAAGTCCCACTCCATTCTCTAGGTTTATATCCTGTGGGGAGCTAGTTCTTTGCTGGTCAGGAAAGTGCATGAGTCTGGTTGGACCTGTGGTGTCTCTAACTGCTCAGTCTCAAGGGAGCCAAGCTTGGCCTCCATCTGCTACTGTGGAGTGGGAACCAGATTTGGCCTGACACTTAATGCCCTTCTGAGATCCATGCGAATTTCAAAGAATCATGCCATGGCCATCCACATGCCTGCACAATATCTCCAAGATCACTTGCCCTCGATGGCAGTATAGCTCCTGAAAAGCCATGCACCTGTGGATTTCACCATTGGCTGTAATTACTGTGGTGGCTGTAAGTCAATAACATAGGTTGAGTTAGGGCTGTGGTGTAGACATGCCCTAAGATGGGCTATTTAATTGTTGCCTAATCTGTATGTAAAGACACAGAAATCATACCAATAAAAAAGTCTTTGTGTAAGAAAAGACTCAGTGGGTCTTGAAAAAATGTAAAAATATGAAATATAGCATTTCTTTAAAATTCCGTTTGCAAGCCTCATGCAGATTTTCAGTTCTTCTTCCATAAACATTACTAAAGATACAAAAATCTAACTCAACCTATGTTATTGACTTACAGCCACCAGAGTAATTACAGCCAATGGTGAAATCCACAGGTGTATGGCTAGATCATATTTCTGCTAAAACACATTCAAATTACTGAAAAATTGGACTAAACACATACAAATCCTAACAGGGAGGTCTGAGCCTCATAGAAACAATGCAATGGTACTTACCGTTTAGTTCTGGTATTATTTAAGCTGATGTAATCAGAGTATTGAACTTATGATTTCACTTATGATTACACTTTTTAGCTATGGGAGGTGCTTTATTATTGCATCATAGCTGCAGCAGTACCATTATGTAATGTTTTAAAGAGAGCTTTATAATATTTCTCTCAGTAAATGGGGAGCACAACACCGGCGATCAATTTTTTCAAACATAGGTGCCTAAAGTTAGGCACCTGAGTTCACCTTTAGGTTTCTAAAATGCCCAGCTTTTCAGATGTGCTGAAGACTCACCTCTCGGCCTTACCTCAGTAATTTCACAACACTGACTTGGATGGAGGCGGCTGGTGCTCAGCACGCCTGCAAATCAAGCCATCTATTTAGTAGCCAAAAGATGGATTTGGGAGCCTAACACCCAAGTTTGTAAATTTTTACCTTGGAGTCAAGAGATCTGGATTCTAATTCTTCTTCCACCACATACTTTCCCTGGGACCTTGGAAGGACACTAGGCCCTGGTCTACACTACAGAATTACTTCAGGATAAGTACATCGCTCAGGAGTATGAATAATCCACACCCTTGAGCAACGTAGTTATACTGACCTAAGCACCGGTTAGACAGCACTATGTCAGCAGGGAAGCTTCTCCCGCCGACATAGTTATCGCCTCTCCCAGGGGTGGATTAACTAAGCCGATGGGAGGGCTTTCTCCCGTCGGCTTAGAGTGTTTTCATTAAAGTGCTACAGCAGTGCAGTTGCATTCGGGCAGCTGTGCCGGGCAGCGTTTTAAGTGTAGACCTGCCCTAAGATTCCTGGACCCTTAATTTCCCCATCTGAAAAATGGGAGAAAAATATTATACTAATGCAGATCAGTTTACCTTGACCGAATCTTACGCTGTTTTATCCTTGAATCCTTGTTATTTTAGCTCAAAATCTTTTCCGTCCTCATTTCTTTTTATTTTATACTTCATTTTTCCATCATCCCAGTACAGAAAAATTAACTCTTTAAAGAGGCATTTCCATACTCACACAATACTACAAACTTTTCAGATATATTTACCATTGTACTGTATCATTTACTGGTGGGTTTGTATGTTAAATTACTGAAAATGTAATCAAACGAAAATGTATGCAGTGTACATGTAGCTGTCTTGGTCTCAGGATATTTCAGAGACAAGGTGGGTGAAGTAAAATCTTTTATGGTGTTAACGGGCCACTCTACCTTGAATGGTCCCTTATACTATGTGCTTTAAGCAATCCAGTCCATGTTACATTTTGCTATGACATTGGAAGTACCTTTCCCAGACCTGAGGAAGAGCTCTGTGTGCCTCCAAAGCTTGTCTTGCTCACCAACAGAAGTTGGTCAAATAAAAGATATTACCTCACCCACCTTGTCTCTCTGATCAAACAAAAGTGTCATTTTAAATCATTAGACAAGCTGATTAGATATCTACAATAGCATTAACAGCCTATTCATTAATAAGCATGATAAGTATTCACACTGAAATAAGAAGCAAGCAAATTTTGATTACGTATGGTATAAAATAAATACTGTAGAAAATTATAAATAGTATCTTCCGTCTTAAAAGACAGCAAAAAAGCCAAGGTTGCAGAGAACATCTGCTAGAAGTTAAGGTTTTTCTTACTTATTAGCACAGCTGCAGTCTAGTCCACTGTCAAGAGTTTACTGACTGGGAGCAGGTTCCAGACTTTCATTTCCCAGTGCACGGAAGACAAGGCAAGCTGTAAAAGGGATACCCATTCACGCCTCCAAAAAATGTTCCTTGAGGTTCCCAGCAGAATCCTAAGGGTGCCTTTCAGATTCTTTGCTCTGTTTCTGAAAACTGGCCTCTGGGCAGCTCTCTCCGTGTTTCTTTTATAACTCTGCTCTGTGCTTAAATGCAACTCTGAGAGGTACGTTAGAAATGATGACGGATGATTAATTAGGAGACCGTGCAGAAAAAAAAGGGAACTGTGCATATAACCACAGAATGAAGAGCTTTCTTAAGCCATGAAATGGTTTTACTTCTACCTGTATTGGCTTATTATATACCATACTATGGTGCGTCTATAAATAATTTGGCATATAGCAATATGATACAACACACTACAATGATTTTTGTCTTTCATACAAACTGCATCCCCAAATGCTCTGCAGGGTTAAAGAATTCTGGCACAAAGTTACAATTAAAAGTGATAGCAGAGGAAATGAGAAATTAAGAAGCAAAGGAAAAGACAAATGTAGAGAACTGATAGGGAAAGCAACTCTGTCATTGTGCCTACAAGGGGGCCGTGATACCGGTGAAAGGATGACACTCGAGTCTGAGAATAGCAAGCAAAGCTTTACTGAAGGAAGAACTTACACTTTAAGCTGCGCGGAGAGTCCCAGGGTGCGCGGAGGGACTGCAGGGAACTTTGACCGTTCGGGACAGCTGGCCAGGCAGGACTCCACCCAAGGGAGTCCGCTGCAATGCTATATCCCCCAGCGCTTATTTCAAGATTACATGGGGTCAACAGCTGGCTACATTCATTGCATTCATAAATTATACACATTATATAAGCTGACTTGTTTACAGACAAAAAAATGCTGAACTGCGCTAAACCATATCTTGGCAGGGTCTGCCGGACAGAGTTCACTGAACGGCCTGCATTTTCCGCTCACATTTAGTCCCATACTCAGTCCGCCACTTAGCTGCCAATCTTTCGCAACCTTTCCCCTACTGTCATCAATGGAAAGTTTCTGGAACGGGATAAAAAGGAGGCTAGTTTTAGGCTTGGTCTACACTTAAAATTTATACCGTCATAGCTATGTTGACAAACACACCCAGTATAGATGCAGCTACACTAACAGAAGAGTCCTTCTGTTGCCAAAGCTAATATTATTTGAGCAGGTGGTGGTCCTGCATTGGCAGAAAAAACTTCTTCCTAGCTATGCCACATCAGCCTGGTCTACACTTAAAAGTTAGATTGGTATCGCTACGGCACTCAGGGGTGTGACACATTCATTCCCGTGAGAGCTGTAGCCTGTAGTTATGCTGACCTAACCCAGGTGTAAATGTGGATTGGATAGGTCAATGACAGAATCCTTCCATCAACCTAGCTACCGCCACTCAGGGACAGATTCTTAGTATTCTTACCATCTTACACAAGTCTGACTGAAGGTCATTATATATATATATATATATATATAAAATCAGATTTTTTGGAAGAGTTCGTTTATACTTGCAGGCTTTCACTCTTGCAATCTCTTTTAAGTGTTCAATGCCAGGAAAATCTTTCCACGGCAAGATGCTAATGCGTCAGCTTACTTTGCTTAAAATGTGAGACAAAAGATTGCATTTATGTATAACATTGCCTCCCATTTGCAATGAACATTTCAACACACTTGCTGCTGAGACTGAACTTTATTCAGGCTGGGAGTTTCCAAGGAGGCAAAGAAAGTCAGGCATCCACTCCCAATGACTTTCAATGAACTGTGGATGTGTAACTCCTTCAGGCTCCTTTGAAAGTCCCAGCCTGCCTTCTTGTTCTAATGAGCCAAATTTGTCCCTTTGCCTCAGTCAGTAGTGTCCTTCTAGCTTTCTAAGAGGAAATTTATCCATTTTTGAATCATTCTCTCTCAATAAAGTTATACCAAATACCCAAATTATTATGCAATGTCACAGAGCATTGGTGAACAGCTCTCAAATTTAATACCAGAAGTGGCTCCAGTTCATTGCTTGATGTGATCTCTGTAGTTGATGTATCAGTTATAAACCCATTAAGGTCTATATAGGCCCCACAAGGCTCTGTGTGGGTGGACACATTTTGCAGAATTGGGGCCTATGTTTGTAAAACATTTCAGAATGGTAAACATTGTTACATTTCAGATAGAGTTCTATTAATTTTAAAGTTGCCTGAAGATTAGTATGAACTTATATTTAATGATGGGAATTTTTCTGAACACATTATAAATTTATTCTTTTGTAATCGTTGTCTGTGTTTTTCATTAAGAAGCTGAAGTCACGACACTGACTGTTCCTTTCTGTTGTTTGTGATGTTTTCGCTGGTTATTTGCTTACATTTTGTTAAAATTTCATTTTATCATCCCTTGATACTTGTGTGTTTTGTTCTTTACTGTGTGAGTACTTGCCTGCCTGCAGCTGTGCTCAGAAGCACCTGCAGCCTGATGCACAAGGGAAGTACTGCCAATTGTGCTCACCTCAAGAGGGAGGTCACATGCTACATTTGCCAGAAATCAGAACATTTGCATTATGATGGTTCAGTAAATAAGAAACAAGCAGGATCAGGGTAAGTACTAAGCAAACCCCTGCGGTACTTTTCTTTGTGATTGTCCTAAACGCACCAGAGGATGGACCAACATCAGCATCTTCCCAAGTTGATTATGGCTTAACAACAAAATTTGTCAATGGATCCAAACAAGGTCTCACTATACCAGTATATTCCATCTAAAGCCTTAATGAAAGGTTTAAGTGAGGTATAGTGCCCTCTGCACTGGAAAACGTAGGACCATCAGGTTTGCAATACTAGGACCAGTATCCTAACTACTGTCATTATTTCACAGGAAAGCAGAATGTCCAGCAATCTAATGCACCTCAGAAATTGTGAAATGCTTTTCATGGGGAAGAGATCCTTCTGACCCTGGGGCTAACATTTAATACCCAGAGTATCAAATTCAATGGGCTCTAACATTGCCTTTGTAGCTATAATTTTGTTTTTCTGGTCACAGAATTATCCAGGCCATTATTAAAGCCAGCTACAGCATATAATGTTCTGACCTCCTGTATTAGTGAATTCAGCTCACTGACTTAACACACTGTGAAGAATTATTTTGTTTTATATCAAAAGTACCAACCATTAATTTCAAGTGACCCCTTGCTCTTGAGATCAAAGGTAAGGAGTACACTGCAAAACGACTTAGCTAACAACAGGAAATTAATCCATGAATTTGTGGACTCTGAACTGACAGGGCCAGATGCCTTATTATGTTCTTTTACAAGGGACCACATAAAAAAAACAGGTCTATTTTTAATTTTAAATACCTCAAATAAGTGCTTATATACCTTTCACAGTATTTTTAATGTACCTGTCCCCACAGTCTAGGCTATGATATAATACTTAAAGCTGTTAGAGTGTTTACATTTTCAAAGTTTTGTTCAAATAGTAATTAATCCTCAAAACTATATTATTTGGTAGGTAATATGCAGATGAAGAAACTGAGGCAGCAAGGTTAGGTGACTTGCCCAAGGCCAACAATGAGTTACTAACAGAGTTGAGATTAGAACTCAGGGAGCTCCTCCTTTCCCATCCTGTGCTCGGAGTACTATCTCATTATGTTTTGTAGTTTACTGTTCTCTCGCTTTTCAGTCTCTTTCTATAGACATATCCTCACAAAAGACTTCTAACCATCTTTATTGTCCTTCACTGAACCTTTTGAATCTCAGCTATATCTTCAAATTGTGATACCAACACTGAAAACAACATTCCAAATGGGAATATGCTATTTTATTATTTGTATTTGTGGTGTATTGAAAGCTGTATTAAAATAAGATGCTACCACTGTAATTTGTAAGGGGTTTACTGGTCCTGCTTGCAGGTTTGGGGGCTATATAGGGAAGCATGTGATCTGGGTCTTTCTCAGCAGACAGTCTGCAGAGAGCCAGCTTTAAGTGAGTTGTGTCTCTCTGTTTTAGGGAGTCACCCGCTTTGTGTCTCTCTATTCTTAAGCTCTTGTGTGTATTGTTCTGCATTCTAAGAAATAAAGTAGTGTTACATTGCAACTTTCCAGCAATAGTATTTTATGTTTTTATATAACATCTATATGTCATGTGAAATACTATTATGTTCAGTACCTAGAGGCTCCAAATGAGATCAAAGTTCCATTTTGCTACGCACATATAGTAGGAGATAGTTCCTGCCCCAAAGAGCTTACAATTAACAGTTAAACTATGTTCTGCATTATTCTATCCATAATGTATCCAGGCATGCTGCACACGGGACCTCTGTTCTGCTTGGGCTCTCTATAATGAAATCTAAGGACTAAAGACATGGGAAATTTGATCCATCTGCATACATCTCTACATCCATGCAGAGCCCCGCCAAAGGTAAGCAGGTGCAACCAGGCAGATCTAGCTGGGATTCTTGACCTAAGACTTTACCACAGAATACTCCTCATGTTTACAGCTCATCAGTAGTGTGGCCAGCTCTGGTGATATTATTGTGAGACTTGCAGTACTTTTTCTTAAAGTTCAGGCTGCTGGAATGAGGGGATTGCATGTGAATCTCAGCTTTGATTTTTTTGCAAATGTAAATTTCTAGCACTCATAGTTCCATAGTAAAGCACCCTAAAGGCTCAGAAAAGTCCAAGGCAAATAAACACATTTTTAAATATTTTTAATCTCATTATTTCTAAACCAGCCAGTCATGATTTTGGGGGGAGCTGAGTCATGATCTTTGAACTCTAGGGGTGGGCAACAGTGCATCTGTATGAATTAAAGGACAGTCTTTAAAAACATGGGAAGTTTTTAAGAACGGGTTGGACAAGCATCTGTCAGAGTCAAGGATGGCCCAGGACAATGAGGCAGGACGATGGACTAGACCTTGTGAAGTCCCCTCCAGCCACTTACATTTCTGTTTGCCAACATACTGTAGTAAGATGAGGCCCTGAAACATAAACCCTTGTATCAGAGGCCTGGTATGAGGCCTAAGGCCTGAACTAAAGTAATGGGCAAGACTTTATTAACATAAAGCAAAGTTCAACTGTGAGCCAGAGGAAGGCCCTGCTCATAGAAGCTGGCAAGGAAAGGGCTGATGTTGCAAAAATACACATACCAGAACATTCTGATACTTGCACATTCCACACAGATAACAAGGAACAGGCTGACCCATCCTAAAGACAGGCAAAAGGGTAATATGATCGATAGAGTTGTGTTGTTCAAACCAACATGTACAAGATGAGAGGCGGCCCCTTACTACGTAGAGGGGTTGCACCTCAATACGTCAAGAGTGATGTGTAACTTGTTTTTACCTGTGTATAAGAATGCATCCCTGAGTGGATGTCTCTGTCTGACCTAGGAGGCAGTGGTAAATCCCGCCACTGACTGAGCCGGTCCATTGTCAGGGAGCACATACGTACTAGCAGAATATAGACATCTGATCTGAGGAGCTAGAGACTGTGTTTTGTTTGGCAATAAACCTGGGCAGGTGCCTTCGTACCTTATCGGAGTCTGTTATTGGCGGTTCTCTCGGGATTTGCTGTGTCAGCTATCTGCGCAGAGCCGGGGCAGCACACAGAGGGAAAACACGCACATAGCCGACTGTTATCATCATTGAACAGAGCAGAGCACCACACTGGTGATGTCTGACATTGGTGACCCTGACCGTTGATTTGATGAGTAAGCGAGCTGTCCGCTGTAGGAATCGCAATCTAACATGACAGAAAACCACAAGCTAGGGAACCCCCTTAACTCCTTTCTGCAAATCCCCACAGAGTTTAAAAAATATAATGAGGAAGAAACATGTAATGTAATTTGTAAGGCTAGAGCAGAGACAGTAGCCTTGAAATGTAGACTACTGCAAACTATAACCATGGCTGTTAAATGGTGAAAACAGCACACCACAAAATCGGTGGGGCAAGTAACAGTAACAAAGAAAGATTGTGAGCATTTATTTTAGTAGATAAGCATTACATTTAGTATAAAATATTAGTAATGCACCTCAAATAAAAATGAATGTCTATACAACAATTGCAGAAGTATAGCTTGTATTATGAAAGATTCGGTCCCTATTACATTGTCCCTATTACAAAATTTAACTAAGTTTGTTTACAATGTATTAAGTTTGGGTTACTGAAAACAAAAACAAAAAAGGAAAACAAACAAAAAACTTTACTATATTAACTAACAAAAGTTGTTTAAGTTGCATCCCACAGACCCAAAGACACCAGAAAATATCACACCCTGAAGACACCAAAAGAAACCCCCAAGCATCAAGAAAAGAAAAATGAAGTGCTTTATAAATTAGAGACTGGTCAAATACACCTCTATCTACCATATATGGACAATTAAGTTAACAATCAGCTAAAAACCACTAGCTGGACCAGGATAAACTGTCATTTAATTTCAACTTGGTTAATTGTGTAAAGACAACTGTATTATTGCTGTACTACTGTATTATCGTTGTACTGCTGTATTATTGCTGTATTGCATTATTGCTGTACAACATTTACAATGTGCATAACCTTGCTAAACTGCTTAACCAACACACAGGTTAAAAATCAACAAATGAATGGCAGCAAACAACATGAAGGCAAGGAAAAACAAATTGGTAAAGAAATTAAGTTACACAGTAACTACAAATTGGGTAAACAAATTCCCTGTTAGTACCAGTCATAATTTGGGTTACTGACACCACATCCTAACTAAGGCACATGTTGTTCAAAATAATCTTATTCAGTGTTTGGATACCAATATTACATCCTGACACAGCAATATTTGATAAATTGGTTACTGTCCATTCAGTAGGTTATCTGGAAGACAGTATCCATAAGAAACAACTGGATCTACGTCAACCACTGGAGTATCACAGACAGGGTCGGCTCCAGGCACCAGCCAAGCAAGCTCGTGCTTGGGGCAGTAGATTCCCTCAAATCCTTTTTTTTTTTTTTGCTTTGCTCTTCGGCCACCCCGCAGGTTTTTTTCTTTTTGGTTCGCCACTCCAGCCACCCTGTAGGGGTAGGGGGCGGCGGCGCAGAGGAGGGGAGCGCCCTGCCGGGAGTGAGCTGCACGCTCCATCCAGGGCTGGCTTTAGGCCGATTCAGCCGATTCGGCTGAATTGGGCCCCGCGCCAAGAGGGCCCCAC